TCCGTCACTACGTTTTTTTCAAAATTTCTATGTTTATTATTTAGAGTTGAAAAAAAAATTTTTTTTTGCTTATTAAAAATTTTTTTTATCAATTTTTATTATTCTGGTTATTGATTAAGGTATTTATTATGAATTTTTTATCCAAAATGTTATTTACAAGTCAAAATTAAATTGCTTTTGTTTTTTTTTTCATTTTTTTTGTTTTACAACAATTATCGAGTACTAAAATTGATATTAAAGTTATTAGATGTATTTTATGGCAATAAAAAAAAATACATTTTTATAAATTATAAATCAAGTCATAAATTGTACTTTAATATCTTACTATTCTATAAATTATAAAAAAAAAATTAATACTATAAAAATTTTATCCGGACAATTTACAACTTAATATATTAATATAAATACTACATAAAAATCGCGAAAATACAATTAAATACTGATTTTGTTTACACAAGCATAAGCTTAGAATGACTAGAAATTAAATTTAAAAATATATATAGTGGAAAATGATATATATTTTTCCATTTGCAAAATATTCAAAAGTCCGGATAAATTTACAAAAAAATTGCACTTAAAAAAATGGTTGTTTTTTTATTTTACGTTTAATAAATAATTGTAAAACAGCGCATAAATAGAAGAATAACTTCTAACGTCAATACAAATGCATAATTTACATATATACAACACATAATTGAAAAATATTAGTATATATTTTTCGTTTAATTACTTTACTTGTGAAGCAAAAATTATTTTTTTAAAAATTAATATTAATAATTTTTACTTTTATAAAGTAAAAAAAAAATTTTTTTTATTTTAAAAATAAAATTAAAAAATAAGTCTTAAACTCAATAATATAAATATAATTATTAAAACTTATAAACTGTAATAATAAAAATAAACAATTTTGATTAAATAATCGATATAAAAACATTAAAAATAAAAAAAATAAATTCTTAAGTACCCTAATTAAAAAAAATCCGTGATTTATTTTAAATAAATAATTTGTATAATTAAAAAATTATTACTGCACTTAATTGGCTGGATTAATTAAGCCTTTTGTATTTTTTTAAAATATTAGCTTGTGCTTTGATATCTATCTTATTAAAATGTTTTAGCATTTGTTGTTTTCAAAAGTAGTTCTCAATTGAATTGTTATGAAAATAATCAATTGAACATCATAAAAATGGACTGTGAATTAATGATATAACTAGGTAACCGGTTTGCGTTTAATGCCCAGCGAAGTTAAACCTGTCTCAATGAAATGATAGTTTTATTATTTATTCTAGGCGACAGATTATCTAACGTATCATTTCTTGATGTAAGTTAATTGTATGTAAGTGGATCTCGAGTTATGGATCGAATGGTAAACTTTTACGCGTCAACGTAAAGTTTTTTTTTTATTATTTATAAACTCTGCTTATAATTATTATTAATTATATTATCTGTAAATAATCGATGCATATATGTGAAAAAATATTGATCACAATTATCGTCGGCTCGGCCAGCGAATTATGGCTCAATTAAAAAATTACATAGGCCATTCAGTCATTTATTGTATTTAATTATCTTTCTTCAATCTATTGACTTTAATAATTGTAATATTGCAATATGGGTACGATCCAAACAACTCGAGATTTTAGGTGCTTCTAAACACTGCTTGGCAAAAATCTATAACAATATTATAACATGATATGCAACATTTATAATCTAATCTTATTTCGGTATACTAATTGTCATTTAATGTTGCTGGGCATCCCGTTTTTTTTTTAAATATTCAGTAACCAAATTAATTAATCTATTGCATTTATATCTGTGATTTTTTATCTATTATTATTTATTATTAACAAAAAATATGTAAAAAAGGATGATTTATGTAATAATTTGCTTACCAATATAATAACAGATAATAAAGATTGTTTTGTATCGTAGTATTGGTAATATAGGCATTTGTTAAGTTGATAAAAAATTTAATCTTTTTTTTATATATACTTTTAAAACTAAAAAAATGTACGGTTTAGAAAAAACAAAGTATTGCAGTTATTGCAATACTTTTTAATCTGTTACTATTGTAAAACTTATTACTTATTTTAATATATAATAATATATAGTTGTAATCTGTTCATTTTTATTTGATTGTATGTGAGGTAAAGGAGCCTGTCAATGTGAACAGTGCGATCTCAAGATTAAATGTTAACGTTTTAATAATTGTTTTTTTTTTCTTTTTTATAAAACAAAAAAATATAAATTAAACCCGGTAACATTTAACATCTTTTAATGATCGTACTTATGGAACTATTGTCATCTGTAAAATATAATATAAAAAGTCCTGAGTTGTACTGTATGGTACTATGGCTATGGAGTTGCATGTTGCATGGGGCGAGTCTGTGGCAATAAAATCCTACTTTAATGCCTGCTTTATTTCAACAAATTATCACGGCTTATTGTTATTATTTTACTATTATTTACTATTATTTATAATTATGATTAGTAGTATAATTATTATTAATATTACTGTATAAACGGAATAAACAATATTGTTAACAGATATAAATAATTATATTATCAATAAAATAAAAACAATCTAGGTACACAGGAAAAACAACATTACACTGGATGTCATCCAAGATTATACAGAGTGAAAAAAAAATTAGATAGTAGCTAGTATAATTCAGATTACAATGAGTATAATCCAGATTATAATAATCCAAATATCATGCAGTATAATCTGGAGATTGTACAATGTTTTTTTTTTTTAGATTTTTTTTATAATCTAGATTATTTAGATTTTTTATAATCTAGATTATACTCATTGTAATCTCCAGATTATAAAATAATCAAGTATAATCTAGATTATAAAAAAATCTAAATAATCTAGATTATAAAAAAAAATCTAGAAAAAAAGTTCTTTTACTATTTATAAAGTTTTGTATAATATAAAAAAAAATTTATAAAGAAAAAGAAAAAAATATAGTAATTTTTTTTTTTTAATAAAAAAGAAAATGATAATACTAGATTATAATGAGTATAATTCGGATATCACGCAGTATAATCTGGATTTTTTTAGCTATCTGAAATTTTTTTTCACCAAAGATATCACTGAGTATAATCTGAGATAATATCCAATCTCATCTTGTTTTTTCCGTGTATGTATTGATTTTAATTAGTTATGGAAAAAATTGACACAGACTCAATAACCCCCTTATAGTATACTGTTTAATTAAATCTGCTGCACTGTTTGCAATCACGGTTTGTAGTTGATAACTGTTTAATAATAAATATTATTACTCTGTTGAGCTTTCGATTGGCTGTATATTGCAATCATAATGTGCGTGGTGAAAACATATTTAATGATTGTTCTTAATTATTCATGGTTCTATTTTTCATTTTTTTCTTCCCTTACACATTAAAATGCAATAATTATAAAGTAAATATAATTCTCTGTAAGAATATAATATTGTTGTAAATATCTGTAGTCTGTGTAACACTGTATAGCATCAAATGAAACAACAAGGCTTTTTTCTGCACTATTACCATTTGTTTGTTTTATGATTTTTCTTTTTTTTATGTTTTCTTATTTTTCAATTATTACTATTACAACTGGCTGCGGAAAAAGTTATCAGTACGAGGTGGGATGGCTGCTCCACCTACGGCATTATTTAGTCACTTCTCTCCTCTTTTTTTTTTTTTTTTTTTATTATTATTTTAAGGTATTTTTAAAATTTTTTTTTCCTTTTTTTCACTTTTGCTTTAAAACTCGACACGGATTTAACGTACAATCAACTTCTTTTCCGAAAAATTGTATTTACAATCTACATTTTAATTGAAGTTACAAGTTCATAAAAAATTATTTACGTCACAGTTATACTAATCTATTATCTGTCTTCACTCTCAGAGGAAAAATTTCGAATTGTACGTTTTTTTTTCCGCGTCTTTTGACATTCGGTTCCCGACCGTATTTTAATACACAGTATCAGCCTTATTTTTAGTTAATACTACTTAAATCATTGATCAAGTAATAAAGATACGTTTACTATATAATCACAAGTTCACTAAAAAATAATCATTCTCTCCTATTTAATTATATCACAAATTATATGCTTGGCAATTTATAAAAAATTTTTTTTAACTTAAAATATGGAATATTAGTTAACTTAAAAAATAAAACCGATGAGCGTTTGCCCTAAACGTATTGTAGTGGTCATTATGGATCTAGATGAACCGAGGCAATTTTTTAGTTGCTCTTGCTTCGAAGATATCATTAAAAATAGTATCTATTATTGTTTTAAGATTTTTTTGAGATTCATGAAAATTTACGATTTCAATTGCACAAATCAATGTCGATACTACCATTCTAATACGTCGTATCCCACAAAATTTAACAAATTTACTTTTTTTAAAAAATAGAATCATAAGAATAGTATGAAAGTCATATTAAAAATTTAAAGGTCAAATAGTTTAATAACTATTTTTAAACAATTATTTTCATCCGTCGAATTCAATGCAATTAATGTTAAAAATGAACCGTTTTATAAATTTTATGAATTTATAAAAAAAAATTTTATAAAACTGTTTTATAAATTATATAAATGTGGGGTACGACGTATAAGAATGGCAGTATCGATATACTTCTTGAAAAACTCGACATGACACCACTTTTTTTCAAAGTATGCGATATCCGGAGTAGAACCGAAGGTCATTTTCATTTATCTTAAAAAATGAAGTTTTTAGTAAAAAAATAAGTCAAATTTTTCGAAATTTGACTTTCTGGCATTTTTTTTTTATAATTAAACAATTAAAAAACGATAGAGTTATTCAACGGAAGTGTTAAAAATTATTTTCATGTACGGCTCGAGTGAAAATATTGAAAAAAACGCGGGTAGCAACAATTTTTGCCGCGTATGGAGTCAACTACACAGAAAAAAGAAAACTTGAAAAATTACAGTTTCAGCTTGTAATAATTACAGATTTTATAAGAATTACATTTTAGAATGTAATATTTACATTGAAAGCTCTGAAAATTAAATTCAAAATTTGAATTTGAAAAAATGTTATTTTGAACTGTAATTTTTCTAGTTTTGATTACGACGTGACCGATTTTACATTTTATACTGTAATTATTTTTTTCGTGTAGACCCAGTATGACCACTACGTTATTTTCAAGAAGTGTGACCACTAAGGGTAGAAATAAAATAATAATAATAATAAATAATAATGATCAAGATAGTGTAAACAATTAGTACGACGCATTATATTGAAGCATACCACCAGCGAAACTTTTAGAATCACCGATTTGAGCCACCTCTACAGGATACGCGGTATCTCCAACGTGAGCATGAAAAGCTCGAAGCTTTTCATCACCAGCATCATCATCAGTGACAACTTCTTCAGGACTACCAAGATGCTGTTGTAACGACGCAGCAGGCGGGATTTGATTGCACTCTTGATTTTGATGCTGTTGTTGCTGTTGAGTACTTTGCGAGGACATCGATATCTCGATACCATTTTGAATTTGTAGATGAGATTGTGATTGTGGCTGTGACTGTAATTGTTGCTGAGACGGTAGTTGAGGCTGTGGCTGTTGTTGTTGCTGTTGCTGATGAGGCTGTGATACTGATACAGATTGTTCCTGTTTAGGAATTTTAACCTGATGCTGGTAAATTTCCTCTTGGAGCCGGCGATCGATGGGATTGATGTCATGGAAGCTGACCAGATGACGCTTCAGATACAGCTTGGTCTTGAAGGACTTGCTACATATGGGGCATGTGACACTCTGAGGGTTGTGGATGAGGCGCATGTGCTGCCGCAGGTTGGACAAGTTACTGTACATGCGGTTGCACACAAGACAAGGGCGTGGGTCCAGCGAGTGCAGTTTACGCAGGTCAGCTGCAACACACACACAACTTGCTCTAACCGGATAGCAGCTCACAACATAGCAACGTTACCAGCAAATAATCACCATTCAACTCTTTTTTTTTTTTACTTTTAGTTAATTATTAATTTAAAACGTTTAGTCACAAAATTTTAAATGGCTTTCTTTTAATTAATCAACCCACCACAGGACAGCAACAACCAGCAAGATAAAACCTATTAGTATTTATATTATTATATTTTTTTGCTGCCTGGACGGTACACGTTTTAGTTGCGAATTTTTTTTTTTTTTTTTTTTTTTTTTTATTATTATTAAATAGAATTTTTTCTTTAAAAAATAATTTTTTTTTGCTAACAAGAAAACCATAGAAAAATTGAATAAAAAAAAATACTTTAATAAATCAATGAGCTTTATCTCGTTGAGGACACAGTTCTAATTCATTTCCTATGTGATGCATTGACTTATAATTGCCACCAAACTTTAATATAACATTCCCTCTAAATATCTTAATAGTTATTGTTAATTTCTAATAATTTAAAAATACTGAAAAATCGTTTAGAAAAAACGAAATTGAACTTTTTTAATGAAAAAAGTCGCAGAAATTTTGATTTTTACGATATCGAAAAAAAACCGACGCCATTTTATTCGGAAAACAATATATTTTCAAGAAAAAAATCAATATTTGATGAAGTTTAAAAAAATATATTTATTCTGAAGTTTGAAGTTACGAATTTCGGTCAGTCGCTTAAAATGAGAATAAAACATTTAAATATGCAAAATAATATAAAAATATTTAGTTTTTTGTGATAAAACTCTTTTATTATAATTATTAAAATAAAAAAATAGAAATATCTTGAAGAATATCAATGAAATCAGTCGTAAATGAGACTAAGACTCATTTATAAATCTTCTAAATTTAAAATTGCCTCAGTGGGTTAAATAAAAAAATTTGATAAAAATTAATTTTTAAAAACCGCTCTTTAAGTAATAAATTTTGATACTTTTAAAAAGTTTCAATTATAAATCTTCTAAATTTAAAATTGCCCTCAGTGGGTTAAATAAAAAAATTTGATAAAAATTAATTTTTAAAAACCGCTCTTTAAGTAATAAATTTTGATACTTTTAAAAAGTTTCAATTTTCTTATAATTGGCACCGAATTTTAATATAACATTCCCTCTAAATATCTTAATAGTTATTTTTAATTTCTAATAATTTAAAAATACTGAAAAATCGTTTAGAAAAAAAGAACGAAATTGAACTTTTTTTATGAAAAAAGTCGCAGAAATTTTGATTTTTACGATATCAAAAAAAAAACCGACGCCATTTTATTCGGAAAACAATAAATTTTGAGAAAAAAAATCAATATTTAATCAAGTTTGAAAAAAATACATTTATTCTGAAGTTTGAAGTTACGAATTTCGATCAGTCGCTTAAAATGAGAATAAGACATTTAAACATGCAAAATAATATAAAAAGATTTAGTTTTTTGTCATAAAACTCTATGATTATAACTATTACAATAAAAAAATAGAAATATTTTGAAGAATATCCCCGAAATCGGTCGTAAATGAGACTAAGTCTCATTTATAAATTTTCTAAATTTAAAATTGCCTCAAAGTTCGCCTGGGGTCCACTGGACCCCGTGTGTCCTCAACGGGTTATACTCGTAATTGAATTTTATTAGATGTAATTTAATTAAATAAGCCAGTTTTTTAGTTTTAAAATTTGATTAGTAAACAAATAATAAGCAAATGAGTGAAAATTTAATGATGCTAAAATAATCACACGATTACTGGATTTAGTGCAGCATCGTGAAAGATGTAAAAAAACATGTGAGGAAGTACGGATAGTTACGTACAAAAGCAATTTCATTTAAAATGGTATAAATATATATTTATAAAAGCATTTATTTATTTTGTTTAGAACGCATGAAATTAATTATGGATTAATTTATGTACACGTAAGGGCAGCAGAATTATTAATTTATTACATTATTTTGGATAGGAACTTTAAATGAATAAATGTATAATAATAACACGAAAGCTTTCATACAACGCAGTTGATTAGCTGCCAAACTGCACTCTGTGGACTTTTATTTAATAATTTTCTACTTAATTTATCTACAGGCCTGTCACAGAGCCCTTGAGTGTCAAATGTCTTCCTACCGCCTACAATAACCTATCGAGCTACACACGAGCTTACCATTTCAAACCATAATCCTTTTTTTCTCCTCTATTTATCTATATATCTCTTTCTCTCTTTCCTCTCTTTCGCTATACTCTTGTTCTCGCACACTCTTCTCACATATTTTTTTTTCTTATTTATTAATTATTATTTTTTGTTTCAATTTTGTTTTTTTAGCAAATGTGATGCAATGGCTAGGTTGTTGCTGTTTGTAATGGTGCTCGTACTACCAGTAATTTAAATCAAATTTACTCACCTTGTTCTTGATTTGGTTCAGCATTCCCATGTGACGGGCCTGGTATCCCTCCCTCTAATCCACTTCCTGAAATTATAAAATTAATAAATCATCGTAAAATTAATAAAATCAATTAATAAATTGTATTTTAAATAAATCAGCTGCATAATTTATTAATAAAATCCAAGCTACCTTGGTAAGACGGCGGGTAAGCTGGTAAAACTTCCATACCTCCGTCCAAGCTGATGAATCCTCCGGGTACCGCATTGACTTCTTGCTTTGGTGAATAATCTTCATCACTACCATACTCCGGTAGTTCAACCTTAGGCTAAAATTTTAGACAATTAGAGCTGTATTTACTTCTGAGCTTTATGTTAAATTAAAAATAAATTTTTAATTTATACCTCAACAATATCGAGATCTTTGTAACAATCGAGCTGAACTTGGGGCTCAATTACTGGGCGAGTACGAGGAGTACTGGTTGCACAAGGCGCAACAGCGGGTAATGGACTAGAGTTTTTCGGTGAATCACTTTTTTTGCACAGCCTTTTGAGAGGTGGTGGACTCGATGCTGGTGGAGTTCTGCTGCGCTCCTCATCAAAGCTCGGTGAAATCAAGCCTCGACCATTGGGAGGATGAATATTATTTGTTTTAGAGTGCTAAAAAATTTTTTTATTATTAGTTATTTTAAACTTGCAACCTTGCAGTCACTATGTGACTTCCGTGATTTGTAAAATAAAAATACATAAAATTTTGCTTTATTATATAAATGACTTTTGTTAAATTGCAATGTACTTTTTTAAATATTGATGTTTTTTAGAATATAAGCTCATTTTAATGCTACACTCATCAAGAGCTTTCATTTGAGTACCCACATGCATTTTTTATATATTTTTCATATATATACATATATGTAATATATATAAATATATGAAAAATTGATGTGGGTACTCAAATGAAAGGTCTTGATGAATGTAACATCAAGATGAGCTTATATCTTTAAAAATTTCAATAGTTCACAAGATACAAGGTAATTTCTTAATTATGTTAAATTGCACTGTACTTTCTTAAATATTGATGTTTTTAAAGATATAAGCTCATCCCGATGTTACACTCATCGAGAGCTTTCATTTGAGTACCCACATGTATTTTGATATATTTTTCATATATACATATATATAAATATATGAAAAATTGATGTGGGTACTTAAATGAAAAGTATTGATGAGTGTAACATCAAGATGAGCTTATATCTTTAAAAATTTCAATAGTTCACAAAATACAAGGTCATTTCTCAATTAAGTTGTATTGAATAATTTCACTAATTATTAATACTCTGATTGTATAAAAACTTATGCGATAAGAAAAAAAGGAATTGTTAAAGTATTTCAAGTGTAATTTAAATAAAAATATTATTTTTATCACATATTAACTTTTATGACCTAAAAAATATAATCGAGCTTTACGAATAATTTTAAAGATAAATAATTAAAATAAAAGTAAACCTTTTCGTTGTTATGTTGATTTTGCGAGTCTGTAAGCCCGCGAATTTGAAGCGACTCAGCAGTTCGTAGAAAAGTCGGTAATTCTGCTTGAGAAATATTCACCTCACCAGCGTACATAAATTCTAACAAGGATTGTAGGTGTTCGAATTCTACATCTCTCATAAAAATTATCGGATGTTTGCAAGGATTCGTCTGTAATAATTTATTTAATCAATAAAATAATATATTAAATTTTTTAATAAAAAAAACTTTATTAAAAAAAGTCAGTACATAATTTATAAAAGTGATGAAAATTAAATTACCCGACATTTGAAAATTTTGATAATTTATTCAACTGATATATAATTAAAACAAGAATTTTCACGCAGAAAATTTTAAAAATTATCCGTGGAATTTTTTAAAAATAGTTTTTTAGTTCTAATTTTAAATTAAAACTTTTTGAGTGTCGGCTTACTTAATTTTCATATAAAAGTAATTGTAAAAAAAAAAAAAAAACATGCAGGTTGGGAGGTATTACTTAAATGTAAACTGGATTTGTCTATAAAAAGCATATGTTGCCAGCTTACTCAGTATAGATATTACATAACTAGATAGTTATGGTGGCTAGCTTATGAGCTCAAGCTGAGAAAAAAAAACTTTGCTAATATTAAATATAAAAAAGAATGTCATGAAAAAAAAAAATGCGAATAAATCAATAAAATAATTATTTTAAAAAGCCATAAACATTTTTTAATTGTTATCTTTATTATTCAACGCAATAGTAATAAGAATTTCTTAATAAAATAGTATTTATTATATTAAAATATATTAAGCAATAATATAAATAAGTAAAAAAAAAAATTATTAATGATAAAAACCAATTTATGATAAATTGATCGATGTATTGAAGTTTGACTAGTATGTACTTTTAGAATTATTCATTACGAGGTCAGGAGGCAATGTACATTACATATAAGCGTATAGCCATCGGTTGTACGGTGAAGAGAGAGAGAGAGAGAGAAAAAAGAGAGGGGGAGGGATAAAAAGAGAAAGACAGATGAGATGAGACGGAGGTGCGAGCGAGAAGGAAGCAAAGTTTAAGAAGCTTGAGGCTAAAGAACACAAGGAGGAAGGAGACAGATTTCTAACCTTGAACAACTCCTTGAAGTACGGACTGCAAGCCGAAAGAACGACCTTGTGAGCCTGGAGTCTTCTACCATCACAGGCAAACGTAACGTCGACAAAGTCCTCATCATCGCGTAATGCTTCAAATTGACTTGTTATATTTGCCTGAAAGTTGTTCCACCTTAAGCAAAACTGCTGCTGACTATCCGTCATTTCTCCCTTACACTCCCACTCAAATCCCACCGGTGCTTGGTAGTCGTCGTCGTCGTCGTAGTTGTCTTCGTTGTCGCTTATGTATTTTACCAATACCTCTTCACCTATTGTACGACAATAATTTATTCGGTTATATTGTTATACAATAAAGATCCCATTATTTATTTATCATTTATTATTATTAAAACTTAAAATCACACATTTAATACCACCCCGCCACGTCTTCTTATATTATCGTAACACTAACTTAACTTATCTCTCTCATTACTGTAAAAATGTAAAATGTAAAAAGTGAATCAATGACTGAAGAGGAAACGTACGATATATATAAATAATGACAATCGATATCCGGGCGGGCAATATGGCAGCACTAAAATTCTCTAGTCCAAAATTATATTTTTTGCAACTTTTTTTGCAGAAAAATAATTTAAAAAAAAAAATTAATTTTCAATTATTAATTTTGTAATTTGTTTTTTTTTTTTTTTTTTTGATGCTGAAGTAATGATATTTTAGGTGAAAATATCTTTGATACAAATTTAATAATTATAACTTGTATTTTATGACATTTTAATTTAATAAAAAAATACGCATGCGTATTATAGAAATTTTACGCTTCCGGTTACAAAACTCAGTATGACAAACTTGCTTGATAATGGTAGTTAGATAATCACTTCGGAGAATAAGTTGGTGATTACTTTCAAGTTTGAATAATAACTACGGATGTTTAATATAGTATTAACTGTTCATTTGACAACAAACATTAGACTTTTATCGGTAATTTAATAACAAAAATATTAAAATTGTTAACGAAACTAACTTCTGACATCTTAGACCACCAGACGACAGCACAGAGAATCAGTACAAACACAGCGATACCTCGCGGTCAAAATTATAACGTCGATTTTATTTAATTTAAAAATGGCCGTCGAATTTTTGCGAAAAGTACTAGTGGCGCTGTCTATGGCGGGATTTTTTTGCGAGTATTACAATTTTGAAAAGAGGGTTTATTTTTAAAACAGTATAATTTTTTTTCGCGCTTTTTAACACAAATTAATAATAAAAAAGTTGAAACTCTATTTTTGCATTTGACGACAATGAATTTTTAGTGTTTAATTAAAAAATAATAATTACCCCAAGTAAATAATTATTTAAAAATTTAATAAAAATTAATTTAGCGGATATAATTGATATAATTATATAGTTGATAATTTTTTTAACAAATAAATTGTGACAAAAAATTGAAATTTAGAAATTTTTAAAAACTAAAAATGCAATTTTTTAAAAATAATTTTTTGGAACGAATTTAGTTTAAAAAAAATGTTAAATTGTCAAATGACAGCTAAATTTATTATCATAAAAATTTAATGTATATAAAAATTAAGCTTTTTTTATTTATTAAAAAAAAAAAAATTCTGAAAATTATTTTAGGATTTATTTAATAATTTTATAGCAAATAAATTATGCCAAAAAAAAAATTGACATGTAGAAATTTTAAAAAGTAAAAAATGCAATTTTTTAAAATCATTTTTTGAAACAAATTTTTTTGATAAATAAAATTAAAAAATTGTTAAGTGACTGCTAACTTTAAAATCATAAAAAAATACCTGTCAAAAATATTGATAATTTATGAAAATTAAGTTAACCGACTTTTAAAAATTTTTATAATTTTTTTTTATTGAAAAAATCATTACAAAAAAATAAAAAACAAAATTGCATGTCTAAAAAACTTCAAAAACTGTAAGTGCAATTTAAAAAAAAATTTTTTTGTTCTAATTTGATTATTAAAAAAAAAATCAAAAAATTTAGAACGTCGGCTAACTTTAATGAAATTGATAATTTGTGTTTTACTCTATCACGTGTCAGACCAATTGATTATTTGTATATCACTATTATTATCAGCGCGCTAATCAAGGATACGAATTTCATTTAAGTAAAAAAACAATTAAATTTAAAAAGAAAAAATAAATTTACGTGCTTTAAAAATTAACGAATCTGTCACTGAATTTTGGTAAGAAAATAAAAACCATTTGTAATTATTTTAATGAAAATTAAGTTAGCCGACATCTGAAAAGTTTTAGAATTTATTTTTTATTGAAAAAATTATTACAAAAAAAATAAAAAAAAAATTTCATTTGTAAAAAACTTGAAAAACTGTAAGTGCAATTTTAAAAATATATTTTTTTGTTCTAATTTAATTAATTAATAAAAAAAATTAAAACTTTACCATTATTTATTTTAAATAGATAAAAAGTAATTTATACTTTAAAATCTAAAATTTTTTGCCATTTTAGCGTAATACCGCTACTAAATAAACGACGGCCGTGAGATGAGATGGTTAGAGTCCCGGTGCATGTGTCATCCAGTCTATTGGCCCGTATGTATTAATATCTCCCGACCCTTCATTTGCCTTTGTCGATTCTCCTGTTCTCAGTCTTCTAAAATCAACTCGTGATGTTTTCAATTACTTTAAAGTGCTAGATTTTAAATTACACGTGTTAAACATCCATGAGTGTTGATAATCACTCATCAAGCCATTTGAATTTAAAAATCAGTGCTACAGGTTAGAATATACATTAATTTTCGAATGTACCGCGAGTGAACGTCGAAGAAAAGGAAACAATAGTGAGTGTAAGATGAGATAGAACGGGAGGCAATCAGGTGCTCGAAAAAATGGCAGTTTTGTGACGTGCGCCTTTTTTGCAAGGGCTAAAGTCGAGGTATCATTCTGTTGGTAACAACAAATATCTAGTCAAGACAGAATGCACGCTTGGAATATTTTTTCGGTAAATCAATCAATAATTACTTTTTATTTTTTCTGTTTTTTTTTCACTCGTTACTCTCCTCTAATTTTTATGAATCATTATTGTCAATAATTATTTCAGAGGACGAAAAATATTGTGGGTTTGTATCGATGTAGACTATATTGCTTTTATGAGAATGATGTTTAACCTAATTTCACAGCTGAGGGCTGAACAAAGTTAATCGATATTATTAAATTTAAATGAGATCGAAAATATTTTCATTGTGAACAAAGTTAAAATTCATTATTGCAACAGCTGATTTTTTCACATCAGTGAATTTATCTACATCTAAGTGTTTGTTCAGTACAATTTAGTCATTTAAATGAATTATTTATGGAGTTTGTACCTGATCGAAGTATTTTTTTCCAACACGTGCCGTTTTATGTTTCACAATTGTATGTAAAATTCAATACCGTGCTCTTTTTTTTTTTTTTAACTCAATTGTTGTTAAAAAAAAACAAATTGTTTGATGGATGCTTTATACTACACTTGTCGTTACATCACCGTGTCAATAATTATTAGTTAACTTTTTTGTTAATACACTTGTCATTTGCAAAGTTATTTAAATAATTATTTTTTTTCTTTGTTTCTTTCAGCAAATTCCTGGTAATAACCATTGATCAAGCTGGTTCCTCAGGTGAAACCCGGAATTTGTAAAATAATCGAGGGTAAGTTTTAACTATTAAAATTATATTTGTTGAATGAGAGAATAAATAGAATAAATTCTTCTTATTTTTAATCGTAAATTCTATTAATCTATTTATAACTCCCAAGTCATTTCAAAGAAACGACAACAAGCTAACTAAGAATAAATAAAAAAAAGTATCAAAATATATTCTATAGCACATGATAAATATACTTACATTTATGTGAAGTGATGACAATTAAAAACAACCCTAAATCCACAAAGCTTTAACAAAAGTTATTATTTATGCTTTTTCCTTCGTTAGCTTGCCATTAAAATGATGACGTCACTCGAAATTAGTTCTAAAAATTAATTACAATAAATTAGTATTGAAAATTATCAAAATTAACTCATAGATTCTAATTTTAATGGAATAAAGCAAAAAAAAATTTTTTTTAATATATTTTAAGAAAAATTTCTAGTAAAAAAAATTTTTTCCTTCGTTAGCTTGTCATTAAAATAATGAAGTCACTCAAAATTAATCCTAAAAATTAATTACAATAAATTATTATTGAAAATTATCAAAATTGATTCATATATTTTAATGGAATAATTTTTTTTAATATATTTTAAGAAAAATTAATAAAATTTCTAGTAAAAAAATTTTTTCCTTCGTTAGCTTGCCATTAAAATCATGAATTCACTCAAAATTTATCCTAAAAATTAATTACAAAAATTAGTATTGAAAATTATCAAAATTAATTCATATATTTTAATGGAATAAATTTTTTAAATATATTTTAAGAAAAATTAATAAAATTTCTAGCAATAAAATATTTAAAAAAATACACATGCAGAGACTTTGCTATTCTCAGTAACATTATCATGGCATTCATTCGGCTGCATGTAGCAGTTTAATTTTACAACACTTTTTACCAAGTCATAAAGTACTCAAACAAGCTCCGTTTTTTTTTTTTCTCTTATCAGTCATACTGTTTGTTTTGTTTCTTTTTTTTTTTTAGAGATATGAATAGAATGATTTTAGACAATGTTTACATTTATCTTTTTAAATCAGTAAAAAAAAGTTTAATTATTCCATAAATTAGTGTATTGAAGAATTGTAAGTCACACTTTTTTTTATTGGTAATTTATGGATATTTGTTCAGAAGTTATTAATTTTTGTCCAACTGGATTATTTCATATAAATATACATGAAATAAGAATAATATTTATTGTATAAGAATAATGCTATCTTATTTTTCATAATTTTATGATATGTTTAAACTATATAACTTGCAAAAATAAAAAAATGTTGAATAACAATCTTATTATTCAATTAATTATCTTTTTATTTTAATATTAAAATTAAAGTTAAAATAAATCTAAAAAAAAATTTAATAAATTGCTAATCATAACACTAAAGTTGTTTGGTCTACAATCTTAGTGTTATTCAGAGATGCGAACAGAGGAGGTGAATGAGCGTGAAAAAAGTAGAATCTCGAAATAAATCCTGGGTCGCATATGAAGACGTTAAAAGGCTAAAACGTATCAAAGGATGCCAAATGTTGTGTGACATGTACTAATGGAACAAAAGAAACTATAAAGACGGCGCGAATCGTATATTTAAGCTGACATAAACTGGTTTGAACTTGTTTAGAACACATTTTAATATGTAATGAAAACTGGTCGACTGTAAATATATCAATTGATCTAATTGTTGAATCATTTTTAGTAATTTTTTTATTATGTAATTAAAAAATTTATTTTGTAATTTCTGGCTTTAATAATGGCTAAATGAACAGTTAGATGATTCAATCATATTAGAATCATAAAACGTTTGAAAGTTCATATGAAAAAATGAATCATTGTCATGATTTTCTCTGAACAGAATAAATAACTAAAGTTATTAATTCTTAGATAACAATTAAAGTTTGAAATATTTTTTTTTAATTATTGCTAAAACAGTTCTAATTCATTTCCTATGTGGTGTATTGACTTATAATTAGCACCAAACTTTGATATAACATTCCCTCTAAATATCTTGATAGTTATTTTTAGTTTTTAATAATTTAAAAATACTGAAAAATCGTTTAGAAAAAAAAACTTACGAAATTGAACTTTTTTTATGAAAAAAGTCATGACATTAATGTTAGCAGTCACTAGAGAATTTTTTAATTTTTTTTAACAAAAAAAATTGCTCCAAAAAATTATTTTTAAAAAATTGCATTTTTTATTTTTTAAAATTTCTAAATGTCAATTTTTTTTATATTTTTTTTTTGCCATAATTTATTTGTTAAAAAAAATTCTAAAAATTATTAAATATCTGCTAACTTTATTTTCATAAAAAAGTCGCAGAAATTTTGATTTTTACGATATCGAAAAAAAACTGACGCTATTTTATTCGGAAAACAATATATTTTAAGGAAAAAAAAAATATCAATGAAATTAGTCGTAAATGAGTAAGTCTCATTTATAAATCTCCTTCTAAATTTAAAATTGCCTCAAAGTTCGCCTGGACCCTCAACGATGTGTCCTCAACGGGTTAAAATATAAAAAAAAATTAGGAGCCAATATATTTTTTTAAAACCCGTAAGCCCTATGTCACTTTGTCGATTCAATAAAAAAAAGTATGTAAGGTCAAGATTAAAACAAATACCCTAAAATTATTTTTTATGACTTATAAACATGAAAATATTTTTAATATTGAATTTTAATAATTATCAAAAATAAAATAACTCATTCTGATCTTTAAAAAAAAATTAGTGTCTTAATCAAATATTTAAAAAATGACAATTTATTTTTTTAGGAAGGTGAGACAATCTCACTCTTCGCTACAGAATCCAAGCTGGCTGACGTGGAGGATGTGGGTCCAAAGCGGACCGAACAAATCACCCGGGCATCAGCCGCCTCCCTAAAACTATCTTCATCGGCAAGGGCAACTCTCCAATCTTTAAAGTCTCCGCGTAATAGGATAGCGACCCCCGCTAGCACCCGAGACGCCGAGACCATCACCGGTAATATATTTTATTTATTTTTTATTTTTTAGTTACCTTAGTTGCGGAAATTGTCGGTTCATTGATAAGTACAATGATAAATGATAACAAATAAAAATGAAAACAACAAGTTGTTGAAGTATAAATAGCTATTGACTCTGTTACGACTGATGTATCACTTGAATTATATTACAAGAAAGGAATAGTCGAACGTCTGAGAATAAACTGTTTCCAGAGAGCAACCAACATAAGCTTTTATAAAGCCCGGCTCACCTGACTGAGCACTCATGGTGTTTCCCATTGGTCCGAGCGAAATGATGATTACCTCTCATGAATAAATGTGGTTCTATCATATACTCATCATGGCAACATTAAAATGATGATGATGATGATGACGATCGTCATCATCATCATCATCATCATCATCATCATCATCATTTGAGCGGTCTGAAGTAAATTACTGGCAATTTTAGTTATTATTATCGCTACATCAAAATCATTATCATTATACTCATTATTAGAATCGCTATCATTATTTTTATGTTTTTATTCTATGGAAAAAAAAAATCTACAAAAACTCTTGAAATAATTTAGATCATTGAGGATTAAAAATTATTGAACTGGCTTTAATCCAATGCTAGTATCTATTTTCTGACTGTTTAACTCATCAGTTCGTATCTTATTCGTTTGTTCTCTTTCTCTCTTTCTTTTTAAGAGCCCGAGCAATGGGGCTCAGGAATATACAGTTGTCCGGCAATCGTTGTTGAACACCTTTCTTATTAAAAAAAAAAAAAAAAAAAAAAAATTAAGTTTTTGGATTTTTAATAAATAGATAAGTTATCAAAAGAATTATTAATTTTTATTATTGGTGATATTAATTTCTTTTATGGATTAAAATATCAATATTTATTATGAAAATATTTCGAAAATCTTTTTGTATAAATATTTTTTTCACAACTTATAGACAAAACATGAATCAGAGCTCGTTTTATAATATTACGCAATCAGTGTAGTAGTAATACAAATCGGGGATATAAATTGTGTAAAAGATCGTTGAACTTAAATTTATTTTAAACAGCATAATAATATAAAAATCTACAAGTTAATTCAGATTTTAAGTAGTTATAAATAGTATTTTGTTTTGCAATTATTATTATAAATAATAAAGTAAAATTTGAGAAGTGTGTTAATCACAGTTGTGCCAGTGACAATAAATGTTGGGTAATAGAAAGAAAGAAGAGATGTGAAAGAAATGCTTACTGGGACTATTCATAAGAACAAATTGAGAGGTCCTTCGAGGATTAAAAAGATAATTGAGAAAAAAAATGATATTCTGAACAAATGGCGAGATGGTAAAATAAATTTTTGTTTTATTTTATTCTTTGCTAATTTATCGACACCTTTCAAATGTAATGCCAACATACTTTCGTTCCTCGTACATAGATGACAGCATCTATTCTTGCAGTTATTTGAATTTTTATTTACAAATATAAATAAAATAAAATTTTTATTATTTATCAAATTATCCATATTATTAATTTATGATGATAAGTATATAGGCTGCGTTAGATAATTCTCTATCTCTAGATACATAATTAAGAAATTACCTTGTATCTCGTGAACTATTGACATTTTTAAAGATATAAGCTCATCTTGATGTTACACTCATCAAGACCTTTCATTTGAGTACCCACATCAATTTTTCATATATTTTATATATTTATATATGTGTATATATGAAAAATATATCGAAATGCATGTGGGTACTCAAATGAAAGCTCTTGATGAGTGTAACATCAGGATGAGCTTATATCTTTAAAAACGTCAATAGTTTAGAAAGTACAGTCCAATTTAACAAAAGTCATTATTTAATAAATCAAAATTTTTATTTATTTATAGTTCACATGTTCTAAAAATTTTTTTCTTAATTTTTCACTTTTATATATTGTGTAACTTTATTACCGTGAGTGTTAAAAGTATTCATGCATAATTATGCAAATAATCTACATCAAACCTACTCGTAATTTTTCACCGTGAGGTCAATGGTCTTTTATAGTCTACTAAGCTGTTCGCTATAGTTTTTAAAACTCACCAGAGAAAACAAATATTTATCGAGAAAATTTCATTAAAAGAAACCAATAAAATGTTTAAGGCAATTTAAAATAAAACATACTTGCGAATTACTTCTGGTTACCTGGCTCGACATTTGCTTATTTTATTTCATGCAGAAACATGATCTATCGACCAGTAATTATATTTCTCGGTGATGTATAACATTTAATAGATCAATTTATTACTTATGTAGCTGACATATAATAAATACAAATCTTAATTTTTAATTTCTCGCCCGGAAAATTTAGAATTTTCAAATTTAGAAAATTTACCCTAATTTTCTATAATTAGCTTCAACATAAGGAGTAACTATTTTCAAACTCGAAGGTTTGAATCGTAAGCAATAATATGTTTCAAGCTGTTTAATTTCAGAGCCAGTGGGAAATTGTGGGGCTGATTAATTTACTATACTTTGAATTTTTAATTGTTTTTGCATTGTTTTTTTTCTTTATACAGGTTAAAAACCTATTATGTTATAATTTATGTATTAAATAAAATGTAGAGCAAAATTTTTCATTGTTTGCACACAGAGTGTCTTACCTACTAAATATCTCGCTATTGTTTCAGAGGTGTGTAGCGGAGGGGAGCTTCCAGAAGTGGAGATAATAAGCCTTCTTGAGGAGCAGATACCGAGGTATCGTCTTCGTGCCGACACCCTCACGCAATTTCAAGGTAAGGTGTTAAAAAAATATTTGCTAATATTACTGTAAAGTTAAATTTTTCTTGCAATAATTCAAAGGACATTTATTAAAATCAAAACATCAGTGAATCCCTTTATTTAACATCACCATAGTCACCTTGGGTGTCATTGACCTTGCTGGCATCTTTAGACGACAGCTGAGTGACTAATGTGGCATAGCAGGCTTCTGCTAAAGCTTTTATGTCGAATGTTATTTTATTCTCATCATAATACTCATCACATTCTCTAAAAAATTCAAGGCCACCACTTGAGCTTTTGATTACACTTTTTCGGTTTCGATTAAATTAAATTTTTAAGTCTTCTTTGCAATTTGTAATTATATTTTTCAGGATACGAAAACGAAGATTGGTTTATTCCATCACCAGCGTTTAGACCTGACGAAGCGGACCTTAAATTATCGCCGGATCAAATCCGGGAGACTCTTAACTATTTCAGTGAGTTAATTTTATTATCAGTTATTATTATCAGTGTTAAGTTTATTTCTAGTATGCATATTAAACATATTTGAAGAGGCTGGAATATATACTATCATTTTTTAAAATAAAAAGGAAATTATTATACAATACCAGTTTAGCAAGATATTATGTTATTCAAGAATATCATTCATGGACGGTTAATCACTATTTTTTTTCTTACTGTCTTTTACTCTCTACTTAACTCTTTCCTTCGTTAAATTAAACGAAAATCGTTAAATCTATTTTATTAAATCGATGTGATTTTCGAACTTCCGTAGGAAATACGATAAATATAATTGTTCTAAGCATAAAATATTATATATTTACTATAATTTATTTTTTTTTAAATAGAAAGTATAATTTTTTTTAATTTATTATTTTTTTTTCACAAAAAAAAAATTTTTTTTGTCGAAATTTTGGTAATTAATTACAAGTGAGGTCATTTTCAAATTTTTTTTTGTATTCTGCTTGTTTTTACGGTGAATTTATGATAAAAAATGTCGTGAAAGAAAAAAATAAAGACTTCTATAGCTTTTTTTGCCTCCAAAAGTTGGAAAAAATTTTGGCTCTCATGTTTTTGGATAAAATTTCTATTTTATATTTTTGACACATTTTTTTTTGAAAAATAAATAACAAAACGAACAATTTGAAAAAAAAAATATTTAATATTACAATTTTTTTTTAAATTTATAAATTTTTTTGAAAATTTGTTAAAATTGTAATAATCAATTTTTTTTTTAATTTGTTCATTTTTTTATGTATTTTTCAAAAAAATAAATATATCAATCAAATCAAATAGAAATTTATGATAAAAAATGTCGTGAAAGAAAAAAATAAAGATTTCGATAACTTTTTTGCCTTCAAAAGTTAGAAAAAATTTTGGCTCATATTTTCGGATAAAATTTATATTTTATCTTTTTTTGATATTTTTGAAATATTTTTTTTTTTTTTTTTTTGAAAAGTACATAAAAAAACGAACAATTAAAAAAATAATTTTAGTAGGGTAAACCGTCCAGTCCGTGACCACCCACCAATGAATGACCGGTAATGAAAATAATGATTATAGAAATCCAAAAATTTAGTAAACAGTCAATGCTCAATCATAATTGTAATCTTACATATATTTTTCAATATTTAACTACCACAAATTAAAATAATTTAAAAGTGTATTTTAAAAATTCATCAAAATTATATCGAAAATCCGAGAATTTCTAGAAAACCATAAAATTTTTACTAAAGTTTGTGAAAACGGCTGCTTAGAAAACTAAGTATTCATTTAAATTTAATAAATTAAATAATTGTCTTCGAATAAATTAATTTGTTAATAGTTAATAAATTTTTTTATCAGCGTATATCGATAATTAATAATTTGCAAATTTGATAAAAAATTTTGTTCATTAAATATGTTGAATGTGCTTGATTTATTTTCATTGTACTAAATAAATACAAATTTTATTGTTTTATAAACAATCATTAGTTTATCATTCATGTTAAACAAATCCCTATGAAAAATAATTTTAAAGATGTAATTTACAAATTTGCACGTTGGTCATTCACTGGATTGAACCTGGTCATTCAATGGAAAAGTACGGTCATTCATTGGGTTTTGTATCACAATTTTCTAAAAAATTTATAAATTTTTTTTTTTAATTTGTTAAAATTGTGATAATCAACTTTTGTTTTTTTTTTAATTGTTTATTTTTTTAAGTATTTAAAAAAAAATATATTTTTCACTGGTATTGTTTTTAATTTCTTCAATTTTCTACTCCTTAAAAAAAAAAATTATCTTTTAATAGAACCGAAAATAATTGATAAAAACTATTTTTCAAGACAACATTTTTAATATA